TAATTTCGGGATTGCTTTCGGAATTTTGGGTCTTTAATACTTTGTACTTTATTAAGCCTTTTAACCTTTTTATTCGAGAGTCACTGATGGGTTTTTTGTAGACGAAACTCGCATCTAGTGCACACAATTATAAGCCCTGTATCCTTGAAATGTTTGATGTGTATTTTTGTATATAGTAATACAAAATGTACATATCCAGCCTATGTTTTTTTTTACATTAATGAAAGAGCGACATCAGTTTTTTTGGAAATGGCAAGATGTAGATAGCATTTATTGAACAACAACGATAATATTAAAACATGAAAATGTGTTTGGAACAGTGTATATCTGTTTTATCACTATTACGCGCATTTTCTAAAAAATGTCCTGTACCAAGTCAGGAATATGGCAGTTTTTATCAAATTGTCCCTTCCTATATATGTTGGCGTTTGTTTTTGTTGCAGTTCAGTGTTTCTGTTGTTCCGTTGATTTCCTCTTATAGTTGATTTGTTTCCCTCGGTTTTAGTTTGTAACCCGGATTTGTTTTTACTTTATCGATTTATGACTATTGAACAGCGGTATACTACTGTTGCCTTTATTTACATCAGACTTCGTTTTAAACAATATTTGAACTAATTAATACTTGCAAAAAGTATATATGTAAATTTCCCTATTATTTTTTTTTTATGTCGTTTACAAAAAAGTACGTGAAAACCAGGGAAGCATTTAAATTTGTAGTTTTATAAAAGGAATAGACATTAAAATGTATAAAACAAATTTTTTAAAGAGATTATCAAATTTTCAAAGAAAATCATAATTGTGGAAGGTTGATGTTTTACTATTTTTTAATCTAATTTGTAAAATTGAAATATCGTTCAGCGTTAAACATTACTATTGTAGATACTTTTAAAATTTTATTGCAGTTTACATTTGTTGAGGTCAAATTTTGCATACATGAACATCAAAATCCAAACTTGAACGAGTTCGTATCTGAAACCCAGCTTTATTTCTCCCTGCAATTAGTTTTATGTGTTAAATTTTCATTAAAAAAAAGAATAAGGGCGATGTACTTGGATGGCAAATAAGGCAATTAAACTCCAGAGACCATAGGAAAGGCTGTGAACAAACAGGTGGCACCGTACTGCCTTCAACAATTTGTGTATGTTTGTTTATTTCTACGTCTGTCTCCTTCTTGTATCGTTCTCTGAATTTTGAAGTTTAAAGATTATTTTTGATGTGATTACAGAATCCATCTAAGTATCCATATCATTCTGTTTGCAATCCATCCATAAATATTATAAACTTCATTAAGTGATATTTGTTTATGTCATAACCATCTGAATCAGAAGTTGGAGAGTTATATGTAATGATCAAAGACAAACGAATAATGACATAGATAATTGAACAAGGTCAAGTTCATACGACGTCCTGGTTATAAGTAAAATTAATGTTAACAAACAATTGGTAAACTGTTATTCCAAAAGTTCTAAACCCAATTGTATTTAACCTTCAACCCACCAAAAATATGTTTTGGAAGTAATTGAACATGATCCAACTTTTTTCGTCCCCTTTTGTATTGCGACTTATAAAAGTATGTGACATCCAATAAGATCACCACAACAAAACAAGTTTTTCGTGCTACTATTTAGAAAAAAAAAAACATTTTAAAGAACTTAAATTATTTATGTCTAAAAAAAGAGACCACCGACACGATGCTTGGGCATATATTGATATGTTTCAAAGCACAGAACAGTTAAAAAACAAATTTACTTGCCGGATTTTTATTTTTGAGAACGCATTCGGTTCTCTTCAACTTCGTACTTTATAAATTCATACACAATCTTTGTTTTAAAAAACAAATTGTTTACATCTATAAAAGAGCCACATCAATATTTTTTTGGAAATTAAAGATGCATTCAGCGAATAACAACGATCTTATTCAGTGTTTGAATCAGTGCATTTCTGTTTTATCACATAAATGCTTCAGCTTTCGTCCGGTGGTTAAGTTTCACACAATATAAAACCAATTAATACTTGAAAAAATTACATATCTCATTTCCCCTTTTATTGTAAATGTCAAAGTCCATTTACATATAACAAAATTGCGTGAGAAACAATGAAGTAATAAGATTCGTGATAAACTCTTTTAAATTTGATAAATGATATAAAAAGCACCTGGAAAAGTTTTCGAATATACATTTACCTGCGAAATTTATCAGTAAGTTTTACAATCTTTTTACAATGGATATTTATAAAAGGAATACACATTAAACATTATATTTTTCTAAAAGAGATTGTAAAATTTCGCTTGAGTTTGTTCCCACCAGAGAACCAAAATTCCGGCATGTCGAATTTTTACTCAATATTTTTGACTTTAATCTAAACAAGTGAAATGTCACTCAGTGCTAAAATTACATGTGAAGATTTTAATACATTAATGCATTGTACATTGTTTTGTCAAATATGGCATACAAGGACATCAGCAACCAAACTTATATAAGTGTGTGTTATTGAAAGGTTGTACCCATAGAATTTGGTTTGAAATTTCCCTTTCGTTAATTTTTGTTTATTTTTGTTCAATCCCAAAATTTGGTTAAATGTATCAAATTTGACTTTTTAAAAATGTTACTGTAAATAATATTTGCCCTGCTCTTTTTTTCAATTAACTTTTTTATATAAATTGTTAATGGCGAACAATAATGTCATTTATCCTACACTGGTCATTTATTGTTATAGAAAAAAATAGCTACATTTAATCTCATTATAATAAATTTAAATTTACCTTAAAATTGGACATACATATATTGAAAAAGTAAAATAACAAAACTACCGACCTCCAAGGAAAATTCAAAACGGAATGGCCTTTATCAAATGACAAAATCAAACGCTCATATACATCAAACGAATGGCAAACAACCGTCTTATTCCTGACTTGGTACAGGCATTTCCTTATGTAGAAAATGGTGGATTAAACCTGGTTTTATAGCTAGTTAAACCTCTCCCTTGTATGACAGTCATAAAGGAATCCATTATATTGAAAACAATTTGTGATCAAAACAAACGGACATAATAGGTAAATATAATATCAATAAAAATTAAAAACCAATTGTTCAGAGAACAATTGAAGGTCTTTCCACCAGTAAGGATCTATTTTGATATGAAAAATATTAAAATTAGGTTTTAAATGTCAATTCCAGCGTCAAATGACAGCTTAATGTACGCTTATTCCAAAAATATATGGTTTCTATACAAAAGATAAATAAGGGAGATAATTTTTGACTTCCGGTTTAAAAAATATCACTTCCGGTATTGTTTGATAGTTTACTTGACACTGATTCCAAAAATATATAGTTCTATATACTTTTACATTAATTTAGTACAATAAATAGCTACTTCCGGTTTACAAAAGGTCACTTCCAGTTGGCTTTTTCAAGGTCAAATAGCTTGCAACCTAATGCAAAAAGTCCTATGGCTTTATCATGTATATATATGAGGTAAAAGCAAAGGTAAAAATATAGAACGTCGAATCAACCTTTGACCTTGACCCCAATTTCAAGGTCATGAAACAAGGGCTTCAAATCAAAATACCCTAGGTCTCAATTATATATGATGAATGAGTTATATGACCATACGTGTAATTTTGAATATAAAAGGGGAGAAAACTCCCATTAAATGTCTCCGTACACTTTCAACTCAAATTTACGTGTTACGACATGTCGCAACTAACAATTCTGTAAAAAAAATTTGTCGATATTTTATAAGATTTCTGAAAATTAGTGATAACAAGCCAAAATCAAAATTTTTTACATGACCTTGACCTTTGACCTTGACCTCATTTTCATTTTTATGGACCAAGGACCTCAAATCAAAAGACCCTAGGCCTCTATCACTTATGGTTTTCCAGTTACAAGTACATTTCACATATATCAAATACAAAAGGGGAAATAACTCTCATATAGAGTCTTCGTAAAGCTTCGGTCTAATAAACCTAACATCCTGAGGATATAACGAGCAATTTGGAAAAAATAAATTTGTCGCTTTCTTTTATGGTTGCGGAGGAGATCTCATAACAAGAAAAACAGTGTTTGTGGAGATAATTCTTACAAAGAAAAGTGTTCTGTTAAAAAGGGTCAGTTTTAAAAGCATATAGACTGTATGATATCATATACAAAAAACTAAGCGACATCTATTGAAACAAAAATACACCGCAAGATAAAAATTAGGCGGAAGAAAAAAAAAAATAGAACGTCAAATTAAACTTTGACCTTGACCCCAATTTAAAGGTCATGGAACAAAGGCCTCAAATCAAAAGACCCTAGGTCTCAATTAGATAAGATGAATGAGTTATATCACCATACATGTAATTTTGAATATAAAAGGGGAGAAAACTCCCATTAAATGTCTCCGTACCCTTTCAACTCAAATTCACGTGTTACGACATGTCGCTACTAACAATTCTGTAAAAGTATTTTGTCGATATCTTATAAGATTTCTGAAAATTAGTTATAACAAGCCAAAATCTAAATTTTTAACATGACCTTGACCTTTGACCTTGACCTCATTTTCATTTTTATGGACAAAGAACCTCAAATCAAAAGACCCTAGGCCTCTATCACTTATGGTTTTCCAGTTACAAATAAATTTCACATATATCAAATACAAAAGGGGAAATAACTCTCATATGGAGTCTTCGTAAAGCTTCGGTCTAAATAAAACCTAACATCCTGAGGATATAACGAGCAATTTGGAAAAATATATTTGTCGCTTTCTTTTACGGTTGCGGAGAAGATCTCAAAACAAGAAAAACAGTGTTTGGGAAGATAACTCTTACAAAGAAAAGTGTTCGGTTAAACAGGGTCAGTTTCAAAAGCGTATAAACTGTATGATATCATATACCAAAAAACTAAGCGACATCTTTTGAAACAAAAATACACCGCAAGAAAAAAATTAGGCGGAAGAAAAAAAAAATAATCAGAAGAAAACCAATAGGTCTTTCCACGGAAAGGTGGAAAGACCTAAAAATGTCAAAATTTGGGGCACAGCAGTCTACATTGCGTTAAAATCTTAATCACTATAAAAACAAATAGCTATTTCAACAAAGAAAAACAAAATGGCATATAGACACTGTATAGATAAAGTACATAAGCAAAAATGAAAGACAAAAATATAAAAATTATCAAAGCACAATAACACAATGGCGGAATGTATGAATACCAAGCCACGCCAAATTTTTTAAAAGTATATTACCAAAAATGGGCTAAACAGCAAAGGTTAAAAATATTCAAAGACAAATAAAAAGAACACTATACCATGTAATTAAGATACCTAGAAATCCTTCTTAATGCAAGTAACAATTTACTCGGATGAGAATCTTGAAATACAATAAATGAATTTTTTGGAAATTTTTGTCGACTACAAATATGTTTTTGTTTTCCATTGTAAGCTTTGTAAATCGCAAATCAATCTAAAAATTATTTCAAAATCTAATTTATCAACATTTATCCTTCAATCAGCTAACTATTGTACAATTAACAGGTACACAAATAATTTTTTGTTTTATTTGTACGTGTTTAGAGTCTTTTGCTACTCCGCTTCCATATTAAGCAAACGGAAATATGAATATTTCTTTTTGGATGACTGTTTATTTTGGGATCTCTTTTGCAGTCAGCGTTTTAATTCAGTTGATAACTTTGAAAAATCAGAGACAGCTATTTGGATAAAAACAACTAAACCGTAAGTTGCCAGGTGTAATTAACAGGATAAAACAAATACATGTACATTGTCGGAAAATATTAATTGATATGTACTCGATACGAATCATCAAGTTTTTTTTAGCACGTACAATTAAATTTTATACTTTCCGACAATGTACATATATTATATATTTCTTTTTCGCGATACATGAGTCGCTGTATCATAAATTTCATCCTTAAAGCACGAAAAGTTGATTCAATATTTTTTTCTCGCATAGATGTTGATTTCAATAGTGTCTTTTTATCGTCGTGAAAGCAGCACTCATAGTTCTTGTAAGTCTTACAGGAGTTATCCACGATGTCCTTCAAAAGACAAATGGAATTTGCCAGTTTAATCGTCTGTGTTTCTGCTACCATGGAAATCATCACTTACTTGTAGATTGCTCGAATAGATACCTGAACAGGATTCCAAATTTCCCATCAACTCTTGATATTCTCAATCTACTTAATAATTCTTTAAAAATTTTACCTGATAAAGCATTTGAAAATCTTCACGAACTCCTGAAACTTGATATTTCTTCCAATAAGCTAACGATTATTAGTAGCGATGCGTTTGTGGGATTACACAATTTAAAACGATTGATGTTGGAGGACAATAGATTAAATGATGGTTCTTTGTATCAGTTTGGTGTTTTCAAATCTTTGATTTCCCTTGTTTTTTGGTAATATCAAATTTAATGGAAACAATCAAGACAGCATCATCCCTGATTATGCTATTTTAGACCTCGTGAAACTTGAAAGTTTGGAACTGGATGCATTTGATCTTTAAAATGTATTTGTCTTTGGAGACGGATTTTCTAGGTTGCCAAGTCTTATCTAAAAATTATAAATCTGAGTCATAATTTTTCATCAAATATTACATTTGATCTTTCACACAATATCAATTTGTGCAGCTTCTAAGTTTGTCAACTAATATGATAAAACTGTTTGAAAAAGAAACAATGGAATTAGTTTCATCTATTGCCAAGAATTCGAAACTAACAATTGACATCACTGGTAATACTCCTCAATGCGATTGTCGCTCACTTCCATTTCTAAGGTGGATGAATGAGAACAAGTATGTGTTTTTAAATATTCAACTATACAAATGCGTATCCAAAAATGAAGCCATTATTCAATTGAAAATGGTCTCCAATACCGTCCAAAAAATTGAAAAAAGAATGTAAGTCGTTTACAGATTTTATAACATGTATATCTGTAGCCATGACAACATGTGGTATTGCTATAGCAACATGATTGATATATAGATATCGTTGGAAAATTTGTTATTCGGGTTACCTGTCGAAAGGTAAATATTACAGTTATAAGCCAGTCGATAATAGTACACAAACTTACAAGTACGATGCCTTTATTAGCTTTTCAGAAATTGACATTGGTTTTATTAAAAACGTTTGTATACCACAACTTGAGATAAACAGTAATCTAAAGCTATGTATTCACAACCGTGATTTCATGACCGGAGAAGAAATCACCGTAAATATAACAAATGCTATCCATAACAGTAGAAAAACTATTTGTGTCATATCTAGAGCCTTTTAGGATTCATACTACTGCAGGTTTGAATTTAATATGGCTAGAATGGAAAGTATTTACTCAAGAGGTGGACAGAACATTTTGCCTTTGATATTTTATGAACAAATTCTTCCAAGAGAACTGCCTCTAGTCATGTTAGAATTAGTTCAAGAGCAGTCATATATTGAATACCCACACGATGAACAAGGAAATGTTGTGTTTTGGGAGAAACTCAAAGAAGCAGTAGCTTAAGAGCTGTTTATAAAAATAGAGTTGAAAAGATAAGTTAAAAAAAGGACTTTTCTTAAATCAAATTTGTATTATAATGATTAATATAATATGAGACTTTTTCAGTGCTTGGCATGGCACCCACACGATGAACAAGGAAATATTGTGTTTTTGGAGAAACCCAAAGAAGCAATAGCTTAAGAGCTGTTTGTAGAAAAAAAATTGATCTGTTTCGGAGTTTAGTGTGACGTCCATTTTCGCTGAACTAGTTCACATTTTTGTTTAGGGGCAAGCTGAAGCCCGCCTCAAGATGTGGAATTTTCTCGCTGTGATGAAGACCCATTATTGGCCTTGGACTGTTTTTTTTGCCCTTTGCTCTGGTTGTTGTCTCTTTAACACATTCCCTGTTTCCATTCTCAATTTTATTTTATTGAAAAGATAAGTAACAAAAGATATTTTTTATCAAATTTGTATTATAATAATTCATATGATATATAAATTTTTCACTGCTTTGTAAAGCAGCAATCCTTTTAGCCTATTCCACACATATGGCAATGTTTATAATTGATCTGAATGCATTCAGATTTTATATTTTAAAAAGATTTTTTTTTTTTCATGAAAGATAATTTAGAGTTCCTAATAAACCCATTCAGTGCCATAACACTGTTTGTCTGTTTTAATCTTTTACCGTTTACGAAGCAATTATCAAAGTAGAGTATCATTTTTTAAAAAAAAATTTATTTAACGGTTCTGAATTAATTGTGTCCATACAGTTCATATCCATATTAAGGATGTAGTCATGTCAGGTTTAGGAATGTTTGTCAGATGTTCGGACTCCTAGTGTTTTCCCTACAATACAGGGTAAAATATTATGCCCCATATCACCCACTTTTCTTTTTATAGAAGACTTCACATAGCTCATAAAAGGTCATTACCAAAATTTAAGTAGATTCTAGATTTCCTTTCTTATGATGTGAGACCCACAAAATGCCAATGCTAAATATAAGGTAATGGTCAAAGTCAGCCTTTTCCTGCCATTTTTTAAAAATCAAATATCTCGAAAAAGAGTTCCATAACCTATCGATATTTTTGGTTTATTTTTTTCTTTAACTAATGCTCTTCTGGTTTTTAGTATCAATTTTGAATTCCAGATTTTTTAAATTTTACCTGACTACATCATTAAGGCATAGTGAAAGAAACATTTAACTACAATTAATCTATCTTTCTAGAATCGTTTTACCTAAACTACCAGGAATATCAAATAGCTAATTCTAGTATCAACAGGAAATATTGACTAAAATAATATTTATTCTAAATTTGAAGATTAAACATATATCAATTTTCATTGAGATACAACATCGATGGTGGTCCTATCGAGGTGACATAGATGGTAAAATAACACCGGCTCAAATATCCAATTTCAAAGGTTTCTCCTGAAATAAAGATTTTAAGTTTATTCTTTATTTCAAATTATAAACTCTCTTTAATAATTGAAGTATTATATTTTAGTTTCATCTTCTCACAGATATAATTTTGGCATTTTACTGCCAGGAAGAGAAATATATTCACGGTTGAATATCTTAAACTGCTACTAGTAATGTATGTGATGAAGTAACTATCTAATATTAAAAAGCTGTTGTTATGAAATAATTGAACAGAACTGTCTCTAGTTCTGCTAGAAGTAGTTCACGAACAGTCATTCATTTAATACTCACATGATTAATAATGCGACATTTTATTCTGAGGGGAAACTCAAAAGATGAATAGTATGAACAGTATTGTAGATATAGTACTGAAAAGATAATTGACAAAATAATTTAATCAATTTAGGATATGATAATGATTTTTATGATGAACTATTTCACTGTTTTGTTTCAAAAACGAGAGAAAAAAAATGGATTTCATTCCTTTTTTTGCCATTTATTTATTTGAATCTTGTAAAAGTTTTTCTTTCTGAAAGAGAAAAAAACATATGTAAGCACTTTATCATTTTTTATGATTTATGGTTCTATTTTTGGGATATTGAAAGAATTCCTATCTTAATTTTTGTTAAAATCGAGATAACTGGAAAATAAATTATGTCCCTTGTTTTCCCACTTATTTATTTGCAATCTTGCACAAATTTCTTTCTGCAAGAATTCATGGTGAGGATTTAAAACTTCCCTATAAGTATTTGGACTGAGTAAGATAGCATGTGTAAATAAATAAATATATCATTACAATTTGTCTGTTTTTTTTTTCATTTATTATTCTCTAAAGAACATTTAGATGAGATGTCATTATTTTATTTTATGTATCAAAATCAACATTTGTAATCTAGAGATTGGCTCTCATGGCGGCAATCAATGAGACCTAGAAACAGAAATAGATATTTGTTTAACGAATCTTGATATTGAAGACAAGTTAAATACACATTTCGTCCTTATTTGCTGATCCCAATGTACATGATGTATAATTCTAACTTGGTGCATTTCGTGATTTTTAAATGAAGCCCTATACGTAAATAGAACAACCTGAGATTTGTTCATTTGAATCGCACTAGTTTGAAAACTTATTTGAACAGTTTTGTAGAGTATATGTGGAATGGCTATAACAATCGTAACACAAGTAATTAACAATTATCAACTTTAACATTTAATGATAAAAATTGTTTTTTTTTTAATTTAAAACATATCATCAATATAAACAACATATTACACGGTTCTCATTCTAAGGGTATACACTGTCAAATGAAGATACACAGAATGAAAAGTCAACATGGTTATTGAAAAATAAATAATTAAATTTCATGGGTAGAATCAAATGGAATATTAAAGTAGATACTACAACATTGCGAACGTTCTTAAACTACAAATTAAGTGCCATAACACTGTTTGTCTGTTTCAATCTTTTACCGTTTACGAAGCAATTATCAAAGTAGAGTATCATTTTTTTTTAAAAAATTTATTTAACGGTTCTGAATTAATTGTGTCCATACAGTTCATATCCATATTAAGGATGTAGTCATGTCAGGTTTAGGAATGTTTGTCAGATGTTCGGACTCCTAGTGTTTTCCCTACAATACAGGGTAAAATATTATGCCCCATATCACCCACTTTTCTTTTTATAGAAGACTTCACATAGCTCATAAAAGGTCATTACCAAAATTTAAGTAGATTCTAGATTTCCTTTCTTATGATGTGAGACCCACAAAATGCCAATGCTAAATATAAGGTAATGGTCAAAGTCAGCCTTTTCCTGCCATTTTTTAAAAATCAAATATCTCGAAAAAGAGTTCCATAACCTATCGATATTTTTGGTTTAATTTTTTCTTTAACTAATGCTCTTCTGGTTTTTAGTATCAATTTTGAATTCCAGATTTTTTAAATTTTACCTGACTACATCATTAAGGCATAGTGAAAGAAACATTTAACTACAATTAATCTATCTTTCTAGAATCGTTTTACCTAAACTACCAGGAATTTCAAATAGCTAATTCTAGTATCAACAGGAAATATTGACTAAAATAATATTTATTCTAAATTTGAAGATTAAACATATATCAATTTTCATTGAGATACAACATCGATGGTGGTCCTATCGAGGTGACATAGATGGTAAAATAACACCGGCTCAAATATCCAATTTCAAAGGTTTCTCCTGAAATAAAGATTTTAAGTTTATTCTTTATTTCAAATTATAAACTCTCTTTAATAATTGAAGTATTATATTTTAGTTTCATCTTCTCACAGATATAATTTTGGCATTTTACTGCCAGGAAGAGAAATATATTCACGGTTGAATATCTTAAACTGCTACTAGTAATGTATGTGATGAAGTAACTATCTAATATTAAAAAGCTGTTGTTATGAAATAATTGAACAGAACTGTCTCTAGTTCTGCTAGAAGTAGTTCACGAACAGTCATTCATTTAATACTCACATGATTAATAATGCGACATTTTATTCTGAGGGGAAACTCAAAAGATGAATAGTATGAACAGTATTGTAGATATAGTACTGAAAAGATAATTGACAAAATAATTTAATCAATTTAGGATATGATAATGATTTTTATGATGAACTATTTCACTGTTTTGTTTCAAAAACGAGAGAAAAAAAATGGATTTCATTCCTTTTTTTGCCATTTATTTATTTGAATCTTGTAAAAGTTTTTCTTTCTGAAAGAGAAAAAAACATATGTAAGCACTTTATCATTTTTTATGATTTATGGTTCTATTTTTGGGATATTGAAAGAATTCCTATCTTAATTTTTGTTAAAATCGAGATAACTGGAAAATAAATTATGTCCCTTGTTTTCCCACTTATTTATTTGCAATCTTGCACAAATTTCTTTCTGCAAGAATTCATGGTGAGGATTTAAAACTTCCCTATAAGTATTTGGACTGAGTAAGATAGCATGTGTAAATAAATAAATATATCATTACAATTTGTCTGTTTTTTTTTTTCATTTATTATTCTCTAAAGAACATTTAGATGAGATGTCATTATTTTATTTTATGTATCGAAATCAACATTTGTAATCTAGAGATTGGCTCTCATGGCGGCAATCAATGAGACCTAGAAACAGAAATAGATATTTGTTTAACGAATCTTGATATTGAAGACAAGTTAAATACACATTTCGTCCTTATTTGCTGATCCCAATGTACATGATGTATAATTCTAACTTGGTGCATTTCGTGATTCTTAAATGAAGCCCTATACGTAAATAGAACAACCTGAGATTTGTTCATTTGAATCGCACTAGTTTGAAAACTTATTTGAACAGTTTTGTAGAGTATATGTGGAATGGCTATAACAATCGTAACACAAGTAATTAACAATTATCAACTTTAACATTTAATGATAAAAATTGTTTTTTTTTAATTTAAAACATATCATCAATATAAACAACATATTACACGGTTCTCATTCTAAGGGTATACACTGTCAAATGAAGATACACAGAATGAAAAGTCAACATGGTTATTGAAAAATAAATAATTAAATTTCATGGGTAGAATCAAATGGAATATTAAAGTAGATACTACAACATTGCGAACGTTCTTAAACTACAAATTAATGTTGGGTCCAAGTATGCAATTTCGGAAGAGGAAACACATATACAAGGTGTATCCGTAGAGCTGCATTTAAACATTGATTTTCTACTAGAATAATGTTCTGAATCAGATTTACCATTGTAAATATATAGTTTATATCTAACTAAGAAAAAAAATCCCTTTGATATACAAAAAGTTAAACCTAAACAAAGATACCAGGCTTTTATTTAAGAACACCAGGTGCGTGTTTCGTCTAATCGAGACTCCTCGTTGGTGACTCTAGTAACGAAACAGTGGGAAGGACAAATCAGTAAAGAATTTGAAGATAACTGAAGACCTCAAATTCTAAAAACTTGTGAAAAGCAAAGAAAAGAAAAAGCAAGTATCTTTCTATCTAGTTGTTTTTTCCTGTTTTCTACATGCTACACACACACATATATATATATATATATATATATATATATATAAAAACACAAATTTAAGTGGGGACTATATGTTCTATAAAACATCATAGATTTTTTTTAATTTATATGTTATACATATTTCATCTGTATACCATTGTTCTACAACGATCTTCCAGAATACTTTATAGGCATCAGATTCACCAGACAAATGAAAACTATATTATATAGTCTAGTTTTGTCGAGCTGTTTAAGGAGCTGGACTAAGTGTAGGCGACAAAGCCGTTGATGTATCAAAAGCTTGACTTCGATTCCGCGTAGGGAACATTATAAAAATTTGTGGTCAGTTTTGTAAATTCTTTTTATGGAAATTTTGCAAAATCTACCTGTCATGTATCCATAAATTTATCATAGATACCAGGTTTAAAGTTTTGTGTGCAATACGCGCGTCTTTAAAATACTCACCAGTGACGATCGAATAAAAAAAAGGTAAACTGGCCAAATAAAGTACGAAGTTGGAGAGCAATGAGGATCAATAATTCCGAAAGTGGTTGTCAAATACAGATAAAGTAAATTACTGCTGGGGTTGAAAATCTTCAGTATTTTGAAAAATTCAAAGTTTAGTTAACATATGATTTATAATTATGACCATATCAATGATGATACAGGTCAACACAGAAGTGCTGAATACTGGCCATGAGTGGGAAATATCCTTTTCGAGGAAACCTCCAGCAGCAGTTGCATCGACCCAGTGGTTGTAAATAAACTCACAAAAGATATCAAGCTTCAATTGTTTACGCCAAACGTGCGTTTCGTCAACAAAATACTCATCAGTTACACTCCTATCAAAAAATTTTAAAGGTCAATTGAAGTACGAAATTGAAGAGCATTGCGGAACCAGAATTCTGAAAGGTTTCGCAAATTGCAGATAATCAATATCATTTTATTTGCCATCAATCGATACATAATTGAAATGTTCATGTAGTAATTTATTAATGTCATTACTATCTAAATCAAATTTAGGAGAATAAATGTTATAATCAAGGACACATAAATAATGGCACTGTACCAGCTGTCGTCAGGTGGTTTATTTTCACACAATATAAAACCAATTAATACTTGAAAAATTACATATCTCATTTCCCCTTTTTATTGTGGATGTCAAAGTCCATTTACATATAACAAAATTGCGTGAGAAACAATGAAGTAATAAGCTTCGTGATAAACTCTTTTGAATTTGACAAACGATATAAAAAGCAATTCGAAAAGTTTTAGAATATACATTTTCCTGTGGAATTTAACAGTAAGTCTTACAATCTTTTTACAATTGATTTTTATAAAAGCAATACACATTAAACATTATAGTTTTCTTAAAGAGATTGTAAAATTTCGCCTGAGTTTGTTCCCACCATAGAACCAAAATTCCGACAGGTCGATTTTTTACTCAATATTTTTTACTTTAATCTAAAACAATGAAATGTCATTCAGTGCTTAAATTACATTTGAAGATAATTTTAATACATTAATGCATTGTAAATTGTTTTTTCAAATACGGCATACAAGGACATCAGCAACCAAACTTGTATAAGTTTGTTATTCAAAGGTTGTTCCCATAGAATTTGGTTTGAAATGTCCCTTTCAACAATTCTTGTTTATTTTTGTTCAATCCCAAAATTTGGTTAAATATATCAAATTTGACTTTTAAAAAATGTGAATGTAAATAATATTTGCCCTTCTCCTTTTTCAATTGATTTCTTTATATAATAATGTCATTTATCCTACAATGGTCATTTTTAGTTACAGAAAAAAATATATAAATTTAATCTCACTATAATAAATTTATATTTACCTTAACATTGAACATACATTGAAAAAATAAAATAACAAAACTGCCGACCTCCAAGGAAAATTCAAAACGGAGAGGCCTTTATCAAATGGCAAAATCAAACGCTCATATACATCAAACGAATGGAAAACAACCGTCATATTCCTGACTTGGTACAGGCATTTCCTTATGTAGAAAATGGTGGATAAAACCTGGTTTCATAACTAGCTAAAACTCTCACTTGTATGACAGTCATAAAGTATTCCATTATATTGACAACAATTTGTGATAGAAAAAAACCAGACATAATAGGTAAAAATGTCAAAAATTTGTAGTACAGCAGTCTACATTGCGTTAAAATCTTAATCACTATAAAAACAAATAACCATTTCAACAAAGAATAACAAAATGGCAAAATGACACTGTATAGATAAAGTACATAAGCAAAAATCAAAAGACAAGAATATAAAAATGACCATAACACAATAACTCAATGGCGGTATGTATGATTACCTAGCCACGCCAAAAGTATATTACCAAAAATGGGCTAAACAGGAAAGGTTAAAAATATTCAAAGACAAATAAAAAGAACACTATTACAGGTAATTAAGATGATAAACAACGTCAGTACCTAGAAATTATCCTTCTTAATGCAATTTACAATTTACACGGATGAGAATCTTGAAATAAAATAAATGAATTTTTGGGACATTTTTGTCGACTACAAATATGTTTTTGTTTTTCATTTTAAGCTTTGTAAATCGCAAATCAATCTAAAAATTATTTCAAAATCTAATTTATCAACATTTATCCTTCAATCAGCCGACTATTGTACAGATAAAAGGTAGACAAATACATTTTTGCTTTATTTGTATGTGTATAAAGTCTTTTGCTACTCCGCTTCTATATTGAGCAAGCGGAAATATGAATATTTCTTTTTTGGTGACTGTTTATTTTGGGATCCTTTTTGCAGTCCGCGTTTTTATTCAGTCGATAAATTTAAAAAATCAGAAACAGCTATTTGGATCAAAACAACTAAACCGTAAAGTGCCGGGTGTAACTAATAGGATAAAACAAATAATTGTACATTGTCGGAAAATATTAATTTATTTGTACTCGATACGATTCGTCAAGTTTCTAAAGCTCGAAAAATTAAATTTTATATTTTCCGACGATGTACATATATTATATATATTTTTTCGCTATACATGAGTCGCAGTATCATAAATTTCATCCTTAAAACGCGAAGAGTTGATTCAATATGTTTTTTCGCATAGATGTTGACTTCAATAGAGTCTTTTTATCGTCGTTTATTGTATTTTTTGATTTATTAAAATTTATATTCTAAAGTTTGATTTAGTTTCAGGTTCACAAAGATATCGTTAAATATGAAAGCAGCACTCATAGTTCTTGTAAGTCTTACAGGAGTTATCTACGGTGTCCTTCAAAAGACAAATGGAACTTGCCAGTTTAATCGTCAATGCTTCTGCTACCACGGAAATCATCACTTACTTGTAGATTGCTCGAATAGATGCCTGAACAGGATTCCAAATTTCCCATCAACTGTTGATATTCTCAATCTACATAATAATTCTTTAAAAATTATACCTGATAAAGCATTTGAAAATCTGCACGAACTCCTGGAACTTGATATTTCTTCTAACAAGCTAACGATTATTAGTAGCGATGCGTTTGTGGGATTACACAATTTAAAACGATTGATCTTGGAGGACAATAGATTAAATAGTGATTATTCGTATTCTTTTGGTGTTTTCAAATCTTTGGTTTCCCTTGTTTATTTGAATATCAAATTTAATGGAAACAATGATTACAGCATTATCCCAGATTATGCTATTTTAGACCTCGTGAATCTTGAAAGCTTGGAACTGGATGCATTTGATCTTCCTTTAAACGTATTTGTCTTTGGAGACGGATTTTCTAGGTTGCCAAGTCTAAAACGAATCAAAACAGGAGTATGCAAAGTGAATACGGTGAACAATGAAACGTTTTCCAATATGCCGCATCTAGAATTTATAGATTTATCTCAATGTTCAATTTTGCATTATGATGCGGGAACGCTGAGCAATAGAACACAATTGATATATCTGGATATGTCAAACGTATACTTTCTATTTGAATATTTTAGGAAATTCATCGAAGAAGATATTCAATCCTCCAAAGTGAAAACTTTGAAAATAACCGGAATAGTTCGGCAAGCAGCTGAGCTTCCGTTATGCTTTTTCCAAACTTTGAATAATACTGGTATTGAGTTTTTGTATATGGATAATAATAGTTTTGTCGAAGCTTATAATGATCGTATGGAAATGTGTAATGCTGTTCCTACAACTTTAAAGTTATTAGATTTTTCAAACAATAAACTGACAAAGTTTTACTTTGAAATACCATATTTGTTTACACTTAATTTGAAAAACAATACACTTGGACAATATTTGGGGCAAAATTCATACATGGATAATAAAACTGGGATTTCACAATTAGAAATGATAGATTTGTCTTTTAATCAAATAATAAGTTTAAGTTTCATAATCTTTCATTGCCAACCAAATCTAAAAACTATAAATCTGAGTCATAATTTTTTATCAAATATTACATTTGATCTTTCACACAATATCAATTTGCAGCTTTTAAACTTGTCAAGTAATAGGATAAAACTGTTTGAAAAAGAAACAATGGAATTAGTTTCATCTATTGCCAAGAATTCGAAACTAACAATTGACATGACCGGTAATACTCTCCAATGCAATTGTCGCGCACTTCCATTTCTAAGGTGGATGAATGACAACAAGTATATATTTTCGAATATTCAATCATACAAATGCGTATCCGAAAATGAGGCTATTATTCAATTGAACAATTTCCCCAAATTCGTACAAAAAATTGAAAAAGAATGTAAGTCGTATACAGTTTTGATAACATGTATATCTGTAGCCATGACAGCATGTGGTATTGCTATAGCAACAGGATTGATATATAGATAGATATCGTTGGAAAATTCGTTATTTGTATTACCTGTCGAAAGGTAAATATTACAGTTATAAACCAGTCGATGATAGTACACAAACTTACAAGTACGATGCCTTTATTAGCTTTTCAGAAATTGACATTGGCTTTATTAAAAACGTTTGTATACCACAACTTGAGATAAACAGTAATCTAAAGCTATGTATTCACAACCGTGGTTTCATGCCCGGTGAAGAAATCACCGTAAATATAACAAATGCTATCCACAACAGTAGAAAAACTATGTGTGTCATATCTAGAGCCTTTTTGGATTCATACTACTGCAGATTTGAATTTAATATGGCTAGAATGGAAAGTATTTACTCAAGAGGTGGACAGAACATTTTGCTTTTGATATTTTATGAACAAATACTTCCAAGAGAACTGCCTCTAGTCATGTTAGAATTAGTTCAAGAGCAGTCATATATTGAATACCCACACGATGAACAAGGAAATGTTGTATTTTGGGAGAAACTCAAAGAAGCAATAGCTTAAGAGCTGTTTATAAAAATAGAGTTGAAAAGATAAGTTAAAAAGGACTTTTCTAAAATCAAATTTGTATTATAATGATTCATATGATATATGACTTTTTCACTGCTTGGCATGGCAGTAATCCTTTTAGCTAGTTCCAAACATGGAAATGTTAATAATTGATCTGAAGTGCATCAAGATTTTACATTTTTTAAAAGATATTTTAGATACGTGAAATAGAATTTAGGGTTCACCATAGATTTTTCTAATAATACCATTGTGTGCCATATCACTGTTTGTTTAAATCTTTTACCATTTACGAAGTATATATCTAAGTAGAGAATCAATTTTTTTATTCTATTTTTATTTAACTGTTCTGATTTGATTGTGTCCTTACAGTTCACTTCCACATTAAAGCATCCGACAAGTGAAAGAAACTTTTAAATACATATCAATTAATCTATCTTTCAAGGATCATTTTACCTAAAACTGCCAGGAAAATTAAATAGTTAATTACATTATCAAAAGAAGATATTTCACTAAAATAAAATTTATTCTAAATTTGAAAATTATAAATATATCAGTTTTCACTGAAATACCAAATCTTTTGTGCTCCTAGCGAGGGGACCCAAAGGGTAAAATAACACTGGCTTAAATATACGATCTCAAAGGTTTCTCCTGGAATCAAGATTTTAAGTCTTCTGTGTTGCAAATTATAAACGCTCTTTTATTATTGAAAGTATTATCATTTTGTTTCATTCTCTCGCAGATATAATTTTGGAATTTTACTGCCAGTAAGAGAACTATGTTAACGGTTAAACTGCATGTAAGTAACTGTGTTTGATATTGACATGCTATTCTTATGAAATAATTGAACAGAACTGGCTTTAGTCATCTTAGAACTAGTTCACGAGCAGTCATTTATTTAATACCCACATGAATAACAAGGAAATATGTTTTTTTTGGGGGGCAAACTGAAAAGAGCAATAGTATGATCAGTATTATAGATATAGTACTGAAAAAGATAATTGACAAAATAAGTTGATCAATTGAGGATATAACAATGATTTTAATGATCAATTATTTTACACTTTTGTTTCGAAAACTAGTGAAAAAAATAAAATGGATTTCATTTCTTCTTTTGCCATTTATTTATTTAATCTTGTAAAAGTTTTTCTTTTTGAAAAGGAAACATTTGTAAGCACTTTATCATTTTTATATATGATTTACGGTTCTATTTGTGGGATGTTGAAAGAATTCCTATCTTAATTTTTGTTAAAATCGAGATAACTGAAAAATAAATTATCTCCCTTGTTTTTCCACTTATTTATTTGCAATCTTGCACAAATTCTTTCCGCAAGAAATCATGGTGAGGATTTAAAACTTCTTTATATGTTATTGGATTGAGTAAGATAACATGTGTAAATAAATGAATATATCATTACAATTTTCTGATTTTTTCATTTATTCTTCTCTTAAGAAAATTTGAGATGTCTCTATTCTATTTTATATATCTAAATCAGCATCCATATCTAGAGATTGGTTTTCATGACAATCAATGAGACTTAGAAACAGAGATAAATATGTTTGTCATCAATTTTGATATTAGAGACAAGTTAAATACGCATTGCGTCATAATCGGTTGACTCCAATGTATCATTCTAGCTTGGCGCATTCCATGATTCTTATATGAATCCCTATACGTAAACATTACAAACTTTGATTTGTTTATATGAATCGCACTAGTTTGACAACTTATTTGAACAGTGTACAAAGTGATCGTATGGCTATTCAAATCTAAACATGAATAATTAAAATTAATAAACTTTACCATTCAATGATAAAAATTGTTTATTTAAATCAAAACATATCATCGATATAAACAACACATTAAACAGTTCTCATTCTCAAGGGTATGCACTGTTATTGTTAAATGAAGATAAAGAGAATGAAAATTCAACATGGTTATTGCAAATCAAATAACAAATTCTCATGGGTAAAATCAAATGGAATATACAAGTGGTTACTACAACATAGCGAACGTTCATAACCACAAACTAATTTTGGGTCAAAGTATGAAGAGGAAACACACATACAAAGTGTATCCGTAAAGCTGTATTCAAACATTGATTTGCTACAGGAATAATGTTCTGAATCAGATTTACCATTGTCAATACATCTTTCATATCTAACTAAGGAAAATATACCTTTGATGTACAAAAAGTCAAACCAGATCAAAGATACCAGGCGCGTGTTTCGTCTACTTGAGACTAATCGTTGGTGTAACGAAACAGTGGGAAGGTCAAATCAGTAAAGAATTTAAAGATAACTGAAAATCTAAAATTCCTTAAAGTTGTGAAAACGCTGGAGGAGAAAGAAAAACAAGTCGGTATCTATCTAGGCGTTCTTTCCAACTACAAGTATATAAAAAAAATATTCAAAGTTTAGGGGACTATATGTTCTTACTTTAGTACCATTGTATTATAAATAAAAATTAAAATATATCAAAAATATCGAACTTCAGGGAACATTCAAAACCGAAAGTCCCTTATTAAGTTGTCATATTCCGGATTTGGTTCAAGCATTTCCTTATGTAGAAAATGGTGGATTAAACCTGGTTTTATAGCTAGCAAAAATCTCGCTTGTATGACAGTCCCAAAGAATTCCATTATATTGACAACAATGTGTGAGCAAAACAAACAGACGTAATTGGTAAAATTGTTATAAATTGGGGTACAACAGTAAATTTAAAACTCATCATAGGTGTTTTTTATTCATATGTTATACATATTTCATCTGTATACCATTGTTCTACAACGATCTTCTAGAGTACATTATAGGCATTAGATTCACCAGACCAACGAAAGCTATATTGTAAAGTCTACTTTTGCCGAGCTGTCTGAGGCAACAAAGCCGTTGATGTCTAAAAAGTTTGACTTCAAATCCCGCGTAGGAAACAATATAAATTCGCACTTAAAATGCAGTTTTAATATGTTGAACTGAATTCAAGACATATCGATTCTCTGAAGTTACAATGGTAAATGTCTAATAAAGGTCATATTAACGATATTGTCAATGGCTCCTATATTATCGTTTCCCCAGTTGGAATATAATCATAGAACATTTACTAGTTTCAACTTCATTAGATATTTTAAATCAGTTGCAACTAGAATGTTATGCTTGTTATGTACAACTGTAACGTTACACAAATGGAATAATCTGTTAGATGGAAAATTTTATATAAATGAACGTCT